CAGGAAATCAGGAGAAGATTAAGAATGGGGAGGGCAGCTATGAAAGAATTTGAATCCTGGTCTCCAGAGTCATAGTCCAATGCTCAAACCTCTACAGTACACCATGCTGGCTCTCTTGTTTACAGAGTAATAAATCAGTAGTGATTTTCTGCACACACTTTTAGTATGTGTTTATGAATTAAGCTTTCAGTATTGAATTATAGTTTTGTTATTACCCATTTGTCATTTGTTATTAGTTTCCACAACATAGTCTTACGAACAAAGTTAATGAATTTAAAGATATAGCAGTGTTACTCTGTAGAATTAGTATGTAGAGAGATCTTGTAACACCTTTGAGATTAAGAAAGCTAATGCTGCCAATTTCTTTAAGTTAGTCTTAAAGGTGCTACAAGATATCACTACATAGCAAAGTTAATGTTTGTTAATTTAACACACACACCCTGAAAGTAAATCCAGTAGAACCTCAGTGGATCTTATACCTGGCATTGTGCTACAATTGTTTAAACAATAATAGTTTTCCATTCAGTATTCCATACATTCCATGACTATCAAAATACACCTTTCACAATCTGCTAAGAGTTATTATCTCTCCTCATTCCCTGTGCACAGACCTAAAATACTTACCCAAATCGACTCTGAACTTTTGAATGAATTCCTTATACTCTCCAGGAATGTAGATCTCCTACTTTTAGAGTCCAGCCTCCACAAGGCAATGCGGATTATATATCACACTGGACAGTGCCTGATGCAATACAACTCTGATCTTGCCTTTGAAATGCAAGCAAATGGATAGTAACATTCAAACAAATATGCTTTCCTGATTACTGTGATAATTTAGCCTAAAGTGATTCTGGATGGGAAATAGGAGCAAATGAAATTAATATTTCTTAAATGGGGGAATGGGAATCATGAAGTCCACCAAATGTGGTTTAATTGCACCCTTCATCAGCACTAGGCAGCACAAAGAATCCAGAGGGGGTTTATTCAGAGGGGGTTTGCCTTTGCTTTCCTCTGAGGCTGAGACAGTGTGGCTTTTTCCCAAGGTCATCCAGTGGGTTTCTAAGGCTGAACAGAGATTTGAACCCTGGTCTCCAGACTTGTAGTTTGACACGCATACCATTACACCACACAGGCTCTGGAGGCTTAATTACAACAGCAAAGAGTATCATGGCCAAAAACCTCTAGTATAGTACTGCTATCCCAGAAATTCCCATTTCTCATGTAAGCAAAGAGTACATATCCATGGACCCTACAAACGATGGGTAGATAGCCAGAGTTTTAAGTGTGGTTTGAGCATTTGGACTATAACTCTAGAGACCAGGGTTCAAGTCCCAGCTTAGCCATGTAAACCCACTCGGTGACCCTGAGCAAGTCACAAACTCTCAGCCTCAGAGGATGGCCACAGCAACCCCCCTCTGAAGAAACTTGCCAAGAAACTGCCATGATAGATTCGCCATAGGGTTGCCATAAGTGGGAAATGGCTTGAAGGCACATAACAACAAACAACAACACCTGACTAAGCAAAAAGGACTGCACGCCCCCCTGACCCCAAAATGATCTGGGATTACTGGACCATCAACCCCCTGTGAGTTGAGCTCCTTCAGGAATTATGAATCAGAAATATACTAAATGATAAGGCGCTAAAAAATATGAAGACAGTGATTTTCATTGAGCCCTCTCGAGAATAATAAAGGCTGCCTGTAAACAAATGTCCAAAACACACTGCAGAAATAATCCAGTTTATTGTGGCACCAGAACTCTCTGACATAGAAAGCTAAATGTCTCAGAAAACTACAATTTCCAGAATTCCCTAACACTTAGCCAGGGCAGTTAAAATGGTCTCAAACTGGATTATTTCTGCAGTGTGCTTTGGACCTACCTCATATACACTTACCTGAAAATAATCTACACTGAGCACATGGAGAGCACTTCTAATAATTCCTTGTGCTTGTGAGATACTTAATATTTAAGGATGTTTCAGTGACGATGGAAAAATCTATTCGCTCTCGCACTGCAAATATATGAAATTAATTTAAAACCTGCCTGCCAATGGTGACTCCCCCATATACACTTTGAAAATAGGTCTAGGATGCCTGTACATAACAGTGTTCTGAAATATTAGTTTATTTAATAAAAAAAATAAAAATCAATATAGCTATGATGGTTCATGAGAATAAAAAGAAGAATCACCCATTAGGCAATACAGTACTTTTTATTAGATGCTACCAGACTGTACAAGCTTTCAGGTTCTCCAGAACTCTTCTTCAAACAAGGTGGTACAAATAGCAGGGAATGTGAGAATAAGCAGAAACTGAAAGCTGAACATTTCACCCATGGCAAGAGATCTGAGATTCAGCTGTCCTTTTATGTTAAAGAAAGGAGAAACAGGAATTACTACTTCTTTTTGCCCTAGAAAGCATGACAAGGTGTAATTTGATCCCCACTACAGCCACATGTGACAAATTCATTCTCTCTGCAAATCTCCATTTTGGGATTGGGTTTATGCAACAGATCTCATCTCATCTTTTCTCTTTATTCCAGCATCTCCCTCTTTCCTCTCTCCCAGAAATAGGTCTATAGGAAAAAGACAATTCCAGTGGTTTTCTCGCCATGGCACCCAGGGTGCTGCATTCTTGTCATTTGCCTGCGATTGCAAAATGTTTTGGACAGGGAAGTGATTTATTTAAAGTGTAAGCCTGCAGTGGTTTCATTTCCTGAGCCCTAAACAAAACAAAAGCACCCAACTGTACATGGTATTTTTAAAAATATGAAACGAGGAATAACAGACAACCCTTGGTTCTTCTAATTATCTTTGCTGTTGTTACCTGCCTTCGAGTCGATTTTGACTCATGCTGACCCTGTGAATGAGACATCTCCTAGCCCCCCTATCCTCTACGGAGATTTTCATATGGGCAAAAGTGATGGGAGCATAGCGGGATGCTCCCATCATTATTGCACAATTGCACGGAAATTACCAGATGACATTGCACAACATCGTGATAATTGTGTCATTATCTCGTGAATAAAGAGGAATTCTAGTGTCACTTTTTATTCACAAGAAAGTCCCTGTTCAGGTCCTGTAGGATCAGTCCCACGATCGCCTTTATTGAGTCTATCAAGCAGTGGTCTTCCACTCTTTCTACTGCCCTCCACCTTCCCCAGCATCATTAACTTTTCTAGTAATTCTTGCCTTCTCATTATGTGTCCCAAGTAAGACAGTCTCAAGTTAGTCACGTTGGCTTCCAGGGAGAGTTCAGGCCTGATTTGTTCTAGGACCCATATGTTTAGGACTAGATGGACACACAGTCTGTGCTAGTACAAAGCAGCTTCTTGTGATCTTTGCTGTAGAGTTGCCCGATGACTGAAATGCAATGCTCAACTGTAATTTAATGCCCATCAAGGGGAATCCATTCCACATATAACCCTCCATATGACTCACACTAGCAGGCACAGATAGCTAGAAAGTACGCAATAAATTTGCAAGTGACATTAGTAACAGGAACCAGACACTATGAATGCAAGAGGGTCCAGCCTTGGCAGTGGCATTCAAAGATGGGTGTCCCAGTGCTTTAAAATGGCTGAATCGGCTATTATTCTACTGGCATAGCTAGTGGATGCTCCCTTTAGGCAATTTACATTTTCTAATTTGCCTTAATTCCACAGGACAGCATCATGACAGTTAAAGCAGTGTCAAACTATATTAATTCTACAGTGTGGCAGCAACCTTTGCCTGGAAAATTGACATAAAAACATTTTAAATGAATAAATGTGAAACAGATCTTGCTTCCTTAATATTTTATCCTGACGTCAATTATCAGGACAAGACACTTCCTTTTAAAAAGACAAATCTCAATGCATACTACACAAGGCTGCATCTGCACTGCAGAAATAATGCAGCTTGGCACTGCTTTAACT